CAATGCTGCAACCATTCCCAGAAGGGATACATTTAAAATGTTTTCTTGCAGGCAAGAGGATATAAATTTAGCACAGGCAGCAAATGTTTATTTGAATAGTGTTTTGGAAGTGTAATCTCCTCCCTCCTTCACGACTTCACTCTGTGGATTCACGATAGGAGATGTGAGTGATGGTCTTTGGTTTTCAAAGTGATGCTATGTTAAAGGATGGTTTCTCATGTCCCTCTGAAGGTGAGTTGTTGAGGACCCATAAATGCTTGTTTACGTGGCTGATGTAGTTCTACTGGGGAAGCAGTTAATAATGTGTCTTTTTTTTTTGTTGGAGCAGCTGTAGATGTTTCTAAAATGATTGTTCAGGGAGAGTGCCAAAAACTGATCATCTTTGACATCCTTTGTGAAGTGACTGAGTCACATATAACTCTCATATTGGTCTAGTTTTATTGAGCATTTTAAAATTAAAAATTTACTTTTGCATTTTTTCAATTTATTCAGGTGATGTGTGGCTGAGCCAGTTTATATTGTCTGTCCTTTGTTGTCTTTGAGAAGGTAGTGGTGAGCTGCTTTCTTGAACCACTTCAGTCCATTTTGGTGTAGGTAGACTTTCAATACTGTTAGGGAAGGAGATGATTTTGAGCCAGGAACATTGAAAGAACAGCATTCACATGTCTTGGCGAGGGATGTCCGGTGGCTTCAGTTGTGTATTCTGATTCACTTTTGTCCTGAAAGTGCTGACATATTGGGTGTAATTTCACACTTGCTCACCGATAACTTACTCATTCTTCATACCCCAGATTCAACGTTGAGTGTCCAATGCATTGCGGGAAAATCACAACCAGACCCAATTGTAGCAGTTTTGTGCCTGAGTTGCTGGCTTCAGTGATGAGCAGGAACCTTCTCTAGATTCTGATTCTGATGGCATCGCATACAGATTTCAAGGAGTTACTAGATTCTAACAGAGTCAGTTCACCACCCACCATGACACACCCACACATTCATCCACTCTCACACCCATACACACATTTCTGTATCGCACCTCAGTGTTCTACTTCATCTATTGCAAATTTCCTTTTCTCCACTTCTACACTCGAGAGTCCTAGTAAGAGTGTAAAATCTGATTGGACCGTGAACTGTGGCAGTGGATGTCTGCCAATCAGCAGAAAAAGCCTTGCGTTTAAAATATATTGTTCTGGGGAATAAAGAAAATATTTAAAATGTGCAATCATCAAATAGAATGGATGGGTCCACTCTAGTTTTTCGTTATTTTAGAAAAATAAACTTTATAAAATTACTGAGCTGGTTGGAAGATCAAACAGAATGTGATTCTGGGAAAATGAGAAAGCTGTGAATCATTAATTGTATAAGGCCATGAAGTTCTTGATGCATTTTGAAGTGAGCTGACACAGGTAGAAGTAGCAGCAGTAGCTGTGAATGCCTATTAGCTCAGCTTGATCAAATTATTACATTCTCAGAAGTTGCCTTTGTCTTCAAGGCCCCATTGGAGTCTTGGCCAATTTTGTTTATAGGGGAGAGAATTGCATGAGAATTACAATGGAGAAACAGTTCATTTTTCTAATCAGATCCATACTGGTGTTTATGCTGCACACTCAATTGCTCTCATCTTACTTAATTTTAGGCCATCATCTGTGTTGTTTTAATACTACTATTCCTTTATGCCTCTATTGTTTCTCTTGCAACTTATATTTCTCGGATGCATACATGTAGAAAAGTGCTCAACAATGTCATGTCAAAGATGAATAAAGTAGTTGCTGAATAGTAGGGGAAAATATGAAAGCCAGTAAATAATAGTTACAGCAGATGAATATAGTTGCTTGTCAGTATTACTCTTTTCCTTCCCTTCTTTAAAATCTTTGAGGCTACCTTTTGATTTTTTTAAACAATGCTTCAGTAGTTTTTGCAAGATGATTTGAAATTCTTGTAAAATGCAGTCTTGCACAGCTTTTGTTTGTCTATTCTTGTGTCCTTTTTCTGTTCTTTGGTGTACACTGATTGTCTGGGGAGTGAGGAATATTTAGCTCTTGCTGCTTTTTGGTTTGAGGAATGTAAATAACATTATCCATTCCAATTGTACTTGCATTTATGTACCACAATTAACGTAGTTAAAAACATTCTAAGGACTATTATAAAATAAAATCTGACATGACCCACATAAAGAAGTATTAAAAAGTAGGTGACCAAAAGTTCCATCAAAGAGGTAGGTTTTAAGGGCATTCTCAAAAGGAAAGCAAGGCACAGATATATAGGAGGGAATTCTAGACCTTGGATCTAGGCGACTGAAAGTACAGCTATCACTGGCAGAACGATGAAGTTTTGGATCTGCAAGAGGCTGGAGTTCGAGAAATGGCTGAATTGTAATTAGCTCACACAACATTTAAGAAAAGATTGGATGACAAAACTTACTGCTGTTGAAAAGCATAGATATCTTTTGGAGCAACTGTTAAAATATGTTGCAGCAGGCGAAGAACCCAAAAAATGCCTTGTGTAATGTGGACACGTGCAGTGCACAAGCTTTGCTTCCCTTTGACATGATTTTTGATCATGTTTTGTACCAACTATTCCATCTGGCTAAGTCAGCATTTTCTGTGCAGTCTTGACAGTTTTTACATAGTATTGAAGGCTATGGCCAGTAAGTGGCTTTTGAAAAATGTTTGAGATTTTATTTCTCAACTTGTTGTCCTCTAGTATACACTTTAGTAACCATTCATTTTTCATCAGTTAACAGGAGGCATATCATGGACAATTGCATTACCATCACTGAATTCCCCATTTATCAACATTCCCAGAGTTATTATTGACTAGAAACTGAACTGGACCAGCCAGATTTGCAACTATATCACCATTCCTTCACTGTCACTGCATCTAAATCCTGGAAGTTCCTTTCTAACAGAACTGTGGGTGTCCCTACATCCCATGTACTGCAGCAGTTCAAAAACATAGCCCAACACCACTACGACTGGAAGATTACTGTGGTAGTCAAACCCTCCCTATTCTGGTTCACACCATTTATTTGAATGCTTTTCACTCAGTCACCAAATTGGCCACTTGTTTTCCCATTGGTATAACATTTTACAGTAAAAGAGATTTTTGCCAGGTTTCTTTCGTTCAAAAGTAGTTCATTATAAAACAAAAGTCATTTCTGTGAAGAAGTGACAAAACTGATCAACTAAGCTATAATCCAGAATTAGAACTATAATCCCCTTTTAATTGTAAAACACAAGCGCAAGCAAAAGACATGCACTCTGCAGAGTTAATACTTAAAAAAGGCAAAATAAAAATAGACCATTGGCTGATAGTTAGAATTTGACAAATTTTCTCAGTCCACCAAGTTTCTTTTTAATGAGATTGAATTGAATTGCTGACAGGTGTAGAATGATGGAAGATCTTCTGAGTAAACTTTGGCTGTAATGGATGTCGGACTGGTTCCGATGCTTCAGAAAGCAATCGTAGTTTAGCTTTTCAAAGTTGAGAAAAAAAACAAAAATATTGAGATGTGAAAAATTTATGGAGCTTCCAAATAATTGCAAGCAATACAGAATTTCAGAAGAGAAAATTGCCTTTGCTGCAAGCTTTGAAGGTTTGCTCCTTATGCCTTTTGGAATAGAAACAATGACCAGAAAAAGTTGCGCAGCAACAATCAGTACGGGACCTCATTGTCTTTTCTTAACAGTTTTTCCAAAAGCATTAAAGTTGTTACATGTTCATTTGGTGGTGCTGGTTTGAAGAGAAAATTATACCTGGGACATCCAGAGAATTCTCCGTTGTTCCTCCAGTAATGTAATGCAATCTTTAAAATGCACTTGAACAATTTGAACAGGTACAATGCTTTATATTTTCATCCAAGGGATAGCATCATAAAACGAAGCATCCGGCATAATGTCTAGCCTATATTTGTAAATCCTGTCTGGATTTGAACTATGTATCTTTTTAACCAAGGTGAAAGTCCTACCATTTCAGCCAAGCTGACAGATCAGCTAGTTTTATAATGTTCCCATTTCCTAATTTAAAATTACCCAGAACCTTTATGAGAAGAATTTCATTCCATTGTCAATTTACAAAGAATCTGTACGGTTAATGCAGCCAGATTCCTATTGTCTGTCCAGTAATTTTGAGGTCACCTCTGAAGTGTGGTACTCTCAGAGCATTCTTCTAACTAATATCATTGTAGGATTATAAACAGAGCAAACTGGACTAAAGCATTGCAGTTTCAACAAATCCACTTTGCACAATTCCCTTGCTAAAGATTGAAACCTTCACAATGTTTTTTTTGTTCTGTTTTGTTTCCCTTTCTCATTAATTACAGTGTTCAGGATACTCTCTGGATTTTAATGGTAACAGCAAAGCTTCAAAATTGAAACAAAGATTTGGCTAGAATTTGAATATCCATTAATGACATCAAGGGTGCTGTCCATGTGCTGAAGTGGGATTTAAGGATCAAGCTGATTTTTCTCCCTGGTCTTCTCCCTTCATTGGAACAGTGACCACACTTCAAAGGCATTGCTTGGCTACAAATCGTCTTTGATTTCTTAAGATCATGAAGGGCAGTGTTTAAATGCAAGTTTTTTTTTAAACAAAGGAACAGTTGTGCTGGGTGGGCATGGTGCAATCTATCAGATACCTTATTTTGAGTTATTTTTCACAAATGACCCTGAATAATGAGTGTTGACAAGCTATCTGATCTGGTGGAGCGAGGAAATGTCACAGTGTTGTTCAACTCTATTCTGTCCAGTCACACACAAGTAGATACATCCAGTATCAGCAGGATATTAGCGCATGTGGACACACACCCCCCAAAATTGTGTTGTCTAACATTGAGACCAAGTATAACTGTATTCTGCCATAATAGCTGATTCAAATGGTAATTTAAATAAAAGCGAAGTATTGTGGATCCTGGAGATCTGAGATGATAACAGAAAGTACAAAAGAAGCTCAGCAGGACTGGCGGCCTCTGTGCAGAGAAACAAAGTTAAGTTTTAAATCCAATAACTCTTCTTTGGAATTGGTACAGTTTGATCCTGAGAGGGTCATTTCAGACATGAAAGGTTATGTCAGTTTTTCTCTCTCCACGTGTGGGTGCCTGACCTGCTGAGATGGTGCAACATTTCTGTTTCCATTTTTCATCTAATTTCAATCCTGGAATATTTGTGATCGTCAGCTCAATTGTATTCTGCATCTAGCAAATGAATTTTTGTGGCTGGGGGAGTTTGTAGACATTAAAAATTTCATAATTCTTTTTAAGTTATGTAACGTTTTGCTGCTATAATCCCTTTCCTAGGTCTCCTCCTGTAGACTTTGCTGCTGGCATGTCCGTGCTCGACCAATCTGTTCTACCACAGTCGTCATCTTTTGTATTTCAACCCAACCCAAGTTCCACCAGCTTTAGCAACAACATTTCATCTCCAGTGTCTCACCATCAGAATATGATCTCATTCAGGACCAGTGTATCCAACTCTACCACCAATACAGTGACTATTTGCCATGACATGGCTACCTTAAACTGCCCATCACGTTCATCACCTTTATACAATGGCTTTCAAGTCCTTAGTCATTCACAATCTTCGAGACCCAGTGGGAAAAGGCACTTTCTTCCTGAAGCTCCCAATAATGTTGCTTCCAACATGGCAGTGGGGCAATATGGGAACGGTGGTTTGATGGGCAGCCGCATTGGATTGGCACTGTTTGGTGCATGCAGTGGCAACAGAGCTTTGTTTAAAAGCATTGAAGAAGAGAGTGACTGCTGCTTGCTGTACATTGTAGAGGATTGCATCCAGGACTTGGAATGTTCCTTCAGCACGGACATTCTTGCAAACACCAGGGTCTTACGGGGGCAGGATGCTGACATTGTGCTCAATGACGAACGGTATGGTTATTAACATCATATTAATTCTGCACAGGCCTGCTTGTTTTGGAGCAGTGTGTCCTCTGATGGGGACAGCAGGATAGTTGGGATAGATCAGATCACTGTGGTTTCTGTGAGTCTGCTTGATGACTGAGTGAGTGGAATCTCCTGCAAGTTTTCCTGAAATTGACAAGTTTTGTTCTTCCTTGGCATGTCATTCGAGGAGAATGTGAATAAGTTTGCACCTTGACACCCAGGATGTGCATGAATGGCCTTGAGATCTTTTCTCACCTTTTGTATGTTTGTATCAATACCTCGTTTTTCCACTTGTTTTATTGCTTTACATCCCTTGTAAGTGGGTGCTCCTGCGAGACTTCTCAGCCACGGATTTGACCAAAATGCCCAAGAATCTTCTACAAATCTGGAGTGCAAGTATCTGCCAGAGAAAGGATATCATCCTGGAGGAATTTATTTTTACTTAAAATCCATATTCATTTACTAATGGCAGTTTTGTTACTTGATAGGAGCAGAGTAAACTCAGGCTGTCTCTCTTGCTAACTGTTCCTTGAACTAGTTTGTAGAATGCAAAGTCCTTTATAGTTCTCATCCTTTTGAATCTGGTTGAGATCAGCTAACTTAACATAGAATTTGATTAGCTGCTCTTTGGTGAGTGGATCCAGATTCCACTTCAGCATCCAGATAAAGAATTTAAATCTTCTCTATAGTTCCATTTGTTCCTGTTTGATTCCACAATATTGTTAGAATCTTTTGTGTTTACTGTTTTCAACTGCATGTAATGCCTGAACAGTGCAAGGTTCTTTGACTAATGCCAACAGCTCTTTATTAACCTTCAGTCACAGTGCTGTAAGTTTATTCATAATGGATTAGTTGCATTTGGATTTTAAAAATTAATTGAGATCTTAAATGCATTTCAAGTTAATCTACACAGATGCCTAACCATTTCCCATACTATTGTTTATGCAGTGTCTCAGGAATTATTATTTGTTCATTGGCAGAAGAAGGCTCCGAAATAGTCCTGGATGCTTTACGTGCAGGTAGAGTGTGCATTTTTGATAAATACAGCATGGAATTTAAGACACAAGGAATGATAACATTGAGGAGGAGACTCTTGCCAGTTTACTATAAAGGTTAAGGGAGTCTATATTGGCCTTATGGTTTTGACTCAACTAGATAGTGCTACAGTTGCTTTTAGCCTGGGATTCTGTATCAATCTCCATATGGAGTAGACATAGGGAAATGATCTATCAATAATGATCTTTGTGAGCCTGTTAGTAGTTTCTGCTGGAAAATCTATTTGGTGAGAATTTATCGTGAAGCCCTGTATTTTCGTGGCTTTTTGATTATTTTTTGTGTAAATAATTACCAATTGGTTAAGATGTTGGCGTTGTTTCTTCCACCTGTGTAACTGCAGTAAATTAATGATTAGCACAGTCTCTGAAGGGGAAGGGGGGATCAGAGCAATGTCAAGTGGAAATATACTTTCTAACAACGAAGAAGATCGAGATAGATGCATCACGTGATTACCAAGTTTGACCAGTAATGTGAAATTAAAAGGTTTCTAATTGTTTATTTATATGAATTGAGGTTATAAACTTAATTGGCTGATATGCATCAATCATTGTTTTATAGCTTTACAATGCTATATACTTCCTGTCCATCACATTTTAATGCTATGAAATGCAATTTCTTCACCCCTTTCTTCAAAAAAAAACTTTAATTAAGATCAGGAACTGTTCTTTTTGAATCACAGAAGAGATCTTCACATGCAGAAAGTACTAGAGGCACAAGTTGATCTTGCCGTAAACAAACTTAGAGGCTTTCATCCCAGCTGGATGAGTGATCATTTTTCAATTATTGTAATGTTATTTTACATGGGTTGGAGTTTGTATTCTTAAAAGGCCACGCATCTATCCTTTATCTAAGGAATTATACTTCGTAGTTTGATGAATGTAATGTTTCTATCCTTAGAACTCTCTGATTTGTAGTCAGTGTCATTGGAGATTCATTAATGCGTGCCACAAAATTTCTGTGTGGCTTTTTATGCCTTTATTTTTCTCCTCTTGTCCCTGAAGATAAATAACTAGTGCTACAAAAGATACAAAATCCTGAAGTACCTCTTTTGAGTGGCAACTGTTTAACTGAGAGCATGGGTTGTCAGGTGGAGAGTTACTTGACTGAATTTACCATGGCTAATTCTATCTACACTTCACATTCAGATGCACTGTCCTGCAAAATTTCCTTCAGAAAGTTGGATTTCCTTTGCATGTTGAATGTTTTTTTTTCCCCCCTCAAAGCTCTATGGAACATAAGCTTATCCATTTCTGATAAATTTCTTCTAGGATCTGTTTTGCATTCCTGCACAGGATACAAGTTGAAGTCTCTTTTTAACCTGTAAAATGAACGTTTTCTTCATTCTAGCTGGGTTCATTGGAAGGTTTTATGTTATACCAGTCACTTTTACTTTCGATCTCTAACCTCACCAGTCCAATTTCCTGACTGCACACAAATTGGAAACTATTTTGCTGTGCTTAGCCAGACTCTACTAGAGTGCTGTGAAAAGAAGTTATAGCTTAAATAACAGTACTACGAGGTGAATGAATTTGTTTTCTTTCTGTTTCAGGTAAAGGGGTATTCTGTGAAAAGTTACTGAGTTTAGACAAACAAATGGCTGAGTCATGTTTTGATGAAGCTGCAAGATGTGGGCAACCTCTGGTCTGTGGTCTGTATAAGTGAGTAAATCCTGCCAAAAGGGATCATTGCTGGAATTCCATTTATATAGGTTGTTTTATTTGTAACTCATTTGCTAAATCAAAAAGTGGGTGCAACTATCTCTGGCTTAAATGTATTGCCCAGTGTGGTACAAAAAATGAAGACCCTCAACTTGTTCTCAACCTCTGCGTAGCTCCCAGATCTTAGCAAGCTAAAGGAAGGGGAAAGGAATAATGCAGTTAGGAATCCTGGTCCTGATCACAGCTAGAAAGTGCATGTATACGTACACGTGTTTGTGCCTCCACCAGCTAGACAGGTTCAGCAATAATGCCTCCTGAAATTTTGGGATTTACTTGGTTTACGCTTGGAAAATGGTGGTTTACATGGGGTACTGGATGTCGCTGGGTCGTGTGCGTCCATACCTCAGCAAAAGGTTTAAAAGGAAAGTAGACAGAAAGAAAATATAAAAAGCAGGGAAGTCTGATATATTATTTGTAAGAATGTTCTCAAGTCATGCGATATTGTTGATGTTCGCAACATTTTCTCCAATGTGACCTCTTTATACTACTTTTGGAGCACTGGCAAGTGATCTTGGGAATCTGAATGGATTTTTTAGTTTCCAAAATGCAGTTTTGAACAATTGTTTGCTATTTTCCTATAATAAGATCCAATGTGTTATTAGAAGTAAACTCTGCTCTTTGACATTAATATCTCTTTTCTGTGTCTGTGCAGACGTTTTGATCCAGCCGTGCAGTTCTTGTATAAGAAGGTTCACAATAAGGCTCTAGGGAGGATTCAACGAATAGTCAGTGTCAGTAGAACCTTCCCATCTCCATCTCTAAGCTATATCAAAAAAGCAGGTATGGACTTGGAAAAGTAAATTACAAACAGGTTAGTTCTGCGTATCTGCAATTCTGTTGAAAAAATTACTTGGAGAAACAAATTTGAGGTAAAAAGAAAAATGCTGAAAGTATATAATGAAACAAAAAAACGTTGGCAATATATGACAGATCTCAACATTTATAAAAGGGTAACACTTCTGATGGCAACCTGGTTTATGAAGTATCATTAACCTGTGTTATTGGTTTTCACTGGATGTTGGACTCCATACGTATTTCTTTTCTCATTGTAGGAGTTATTCTGTGGCAGATTGGTTTTTTTAACTCCTTTTTACAATGTATGTGACCATTATCCACTGCATTTCATTAGGCTTTATAAGTAGACTCCTCATAAAAATTGACAGGGAACTGTGTGTTCCTGCTGTCTATTGCTAATAGATAAGGTGCAGTCCCCTCTCTCCCAGTCCCGCCTTTTTTTTGTCTCAGCACACTAGATATGCACAGTGGTGGAAAATGTGTTTGTAAGTAACCGTTCACTGCAGCAATTGTTAAATTATTGTGATTAAGGTGATAATTTGACCCGAGTAGAACAAACCCCAGAGCCACTTGCATTCTCATCATGTGGTAATTACTGTATTAGAGCTATTGACCATGATGCTCAACGGTAAAATGTGAATGGTGAACAATTGGAATTGAACTTTGGCATCTGTATGTTACATTGAATAAATTGGACATGTTAACATTTCTATATGCCTTCAAGAGTGACTGGCCTATTTCTTGATGCCAGTAGAAATTACATAATCCAGAGGCCAATGGATAATCAGATAATTAGCGTGCTTGGTTCGTATCTGATCTCCTGTAATGATTTCAATATCACCCGAAGGAACCAGTTATTCTGGCTCCCTGCTTTATTGATCCTAACTTTTTTTTTTGCCTCTCAGAAGAGATTACAATTATGCTGCAGTGGGCAATCATGAATTCAACAGCAAACTTGATGTGCCAGTTGACTTTTTTCCTCTGTTTCTTATCTTGCTCTGTATTTCGAGGTTGAAAGAGATTGATAATCTGTTCAGACTTTTTTGTCTTGTGATGTTTCAACCATTTCTGTTGCTGAAACCTGCTCAAGACTCTGAAATGCTATGTGCATTGTCTTATTATTGTGGCTACCTTACCTGTGCAAACAAATCCATCTGAATTGTTCTTTTTAAACAGGTGGGATATTCTACGATGGTGTAGTACATGACCTAGATACTGTCTGCTGGCTACTTGGGGAAAACGCTCCAGATACCATATTCTCATTGGGTCATGCCTTCTGCCAAGGTAGAAACTGGTTGAAAGTTTAATAAACAGTGCTTGTAGCAAAGAGCTTATCTGCGAGTGGAAAGAGGAAGTATCTTCACAATAATAGATTTAAATCTGTTTCATCCAGTTCATTTCTTGGTCTGATTCATAAACTTGAACCTGATAAATATTTTCTGATTAAACTTAAGTATTAATGTGGAGAGGGGGTAAGGATAGATATGTTTTTGACTTGTGAAAACCAGTTGATCATCTGTGCACCTCATTTTAGGGACTGTGTATTTTAGATGTGTTTCATATCGTTTTGTCCTTAGTCAGGCCCCATGTAAAAGGTCATTGGACAAGGTAGTGATAAAACGATAATGTCACTTGACTAAAGTTCAGACATTGTGGATTCGAATACTCCTAATGGCCGCTGGAAAATTTGAGTTCAATTAACAGAATCAAAAATTGAATGTAAAGGTGATGTAACTGCTGATGATTGTCATAACAACCCATTTGATTCACTAATGCCCTTTAGGGACGGGAATCTGTCATCCTTACCTGGTCTAGCCAACAGTAATGTGATCAACTTTAAACTGCCAGCTAAAATGACCTAGTAAGCCATTTAGTTATTTCAACACAGCTACAAACGCTGATAAAGGGAAAGAAACAGGACCAACCACCATTGATCAAAGCACTAGAAATGACAACAGCAAACTTGGCCTTGTTGACCCTGCAAAGTCCTCCTATGAGGGCCTGTTCCAAAATTGAGAGAGTTGTCCCACAGACGAGTGAAGCAGCAGTCTGGTATTGTCATAATCATGGAATCATGCCTCACAGTCAATGTCCTGGATACCACCATTATAGTCACCGGGTATGTCCTATCCCACCTGCAGGATAGAGCACCAGACATGGTGATGCAGTGGTATACAGTCTTGCCCAGAGTTGCCTTGAGAATTCTGAACATTGACTCCAGAGCCTATGAAATCTCATAGCATCAGATGAAGCATTCAATGGGACAGATTTTGAACACATTTAACAGCTTAGAACTGGGCATCCAGGAGGTGCTATGGGCCATCAGCAGCAGCAGAATTGTAATCATTTTTAATCAACCAATTCAGAACTGTTAGGGTACACCTCCAGTTCAGGTGAGACATGAATCTAGACCTTCTAAACCAGAGTTAGAGACACTACTATTGCACCACAAGACCTTAGCAGAATTATATTCAACCACACTCCACAGCCCAGAATCCTGTGAATGATAAACCTCCCAGCTCACCATTACCATTAGATCAGCCCTGTTCAATGAAGACTACAACTGGCATTCCAGGAGCAGCACAAGGCATAAAAATGAGGTATCAGTCTGCTGAAGCTACAACATAGGAGTGCTTGCCTGCCAAACAGAAGAAGCAGTATGCAGTATACAAGACAAGGCATCTCCTCAGCCAGCTTATCAGATATAAGCTGTGCCGTATTGCCATATCCATTTGTGACTGATGGTGAATAATTAAACAACTGATAAGTGGAGGAGGAGGAGGCTCCATTTAGCAGTGTGTGGCATCAAGGAGCCCAGCCAAAACAGGAGTCCGTGGGAATCAGGGAAAAAACTTATCAGTGGTTGGACCCATACCTAGCACAAAGGAAGATTGTTGTGGTTGTTGGAGGTCAGCCATCTCAGTCTGAAAACGTCCTCCACCTTCAGCTGCTTCATCAGTGAACTTCCCTCCATCATGAGGTCAGAAATGGGGATATTCACTATTGACTACGCAATGTACAACACCATTCAGGTTTGGACTGGCAAGTAATACTCCTGTTTGTCAATGACCATCTCTAAACAGCGAATCTAATTATCACCCTTCGGCGCTTAATGGCGTTACCATTGCTGAATGCCCCACCATTGATATCCTGGGAGTTATCATTGACTAGGAACTGAATATTGTGCCTCCTAAAGAAGGTCAGAGTCTGGGAATTCTGTGACAAGTAATTCCGCAAAACCTGCCAGCAATTACAAAATATGTCAGGAGAGTAATGGCACACTCTCTATTTGCTTGAATGGATTCAGCTTGAACAACACTCGAAGCTTTATACTATCTAAGACAAAACATCCTGCTTGATGTGCACCCATCACCACCTTTGGTGTTCGCTCCCTTTGTGTTGCTGCACAGTGGAAGCAGTGTATACCGTCGTCTACAGGATGCACTGTAGTAACAAATCCAGGCGGCTACCACAGCACTTTCCAACCTCTGACCTCTAACCCTAAGAACAATTACAACTGTTGCATGTTGAAAGAGCTCCTCCGAGCACACACCGAGCACACACCGTCCTGCCTTTGAACTATATCGTCATTCCTTCACTGTTACTGAGTCCAAATCCTGTAACTCCTTTTCTAACAGTACTGTGAATGTACCTACTCTTCAAGAGTAGTAGTTCTTGTCAAGGGCAGTTAAGTAATGAGCAATAGATGCTGGCTAAACCAGCAATGCCCACATTCTATGAACAAATACATTTTTTTTTTTTAGATGTGTTGTGTCACCATATATTAGTTGTTAGCACTAAATTATCAAGTCCACAGGTTGAAAGTTTAATTCCTTCCATGACCAATTCAATGACACTTTGAACTGGGGATGAAATCCAAGTTCTTCATCTTATAAAAAAGCAACATATTCACTAATTCCCTTAATGAGTCTGCTCCCTTGCATCTATTCTGACACATGTATGACACTTAAACTGCATTATGTGCTTGATTCTTAATAACCTCAACCTAACTCATGATGGATAATAAATACAACTGTGTCAGTATTACCAACATCCTAGGAATGAGTTATACCTTCATGAAAATACAGGAAACAGTCCATTTCCATTGCATACATGAAACTGAGAAATGCTGGCCTCAAAGCCTTTTGGAACTGTTTGTTTGGTGTGGGATATTAAAATATGATTAAGTAACAGAAACATTGCTAGTAATTTAATTCCCAAAGTAGAGAGCAGTGCTATTTAATGGACTGATCCAGCCCTCTTTCCTGCACAACTTTAGACTGTAAAACCAGTAGAAGTGAAAACTTGTATTTCTTTCGTGCCTTTCATCTCTTCAAAAAGTTCCAAAATTCTTACAGCCAATTGTTTACTTTTTGAAGTGTAGCTGCTATTGCAATATGAAAAGCAATTCTTTGTTGATTGTGTTCCTTGTCTGCAATATGCTAATGATCTCAGGATCTGTATTAGTGATGTGAAACAAACAAAAACAGAAATTGCTGGAGAAACTCAGCAGCTCTGGCAGATTCTATGAAGGGAGAAATGTAGTTTTGAATCCAGTGACTCATTATTGGAATTAAAGATTCTGTATTAGTGATGTTGGCTTTGAGATGAAAATTGGCCAGGAGACCGGGAAGCCCCGGCTTTTTGAATTGGTACCACAAAATCTTTTATATTCATCTGATACGGTAGATAGCACCTGAAAGGTAGCCCTGGTAACAGTGCAGCACTCTCTCAGTACTGCATTGGCACTGTCAATGTAGATATTATGCTCAAATACCTGGAGTGGGACCTGAATTCCACAGCCTTCTCACTTTGTGACAAGAGAGTTACCTGCTGAGCCCTTGCCAAACAGTAAAGATACATATTGACAAACATTGGCTCATTGTTGAAGAGGAGAAAACAGTATTTCTCCTCATTGCTGTTGAATGTCTCTTAATGGGATGAATGTATGTGAACATTTGGAGAAGCCCCTCATAGTAGAATGACCTGCTGATATTAAGTGGCCTTGTGTGGGAAGAATTGTCACATATTGTGATAATTTATGGTGCTTGCAGTCTTTGGACCTTGACACCATTGAGAGTAGGCACCTTCAGAGGAACAAGAGAAATATTGCTGGGGGTGAGGTGAAAGAATAGTGAAATGACATTTCCTGCACAGCACTTGGCACTAAACTCAGATTAAGGGTTTAGTGCATGACCCCTGACCATCACAGGCTAAATGTTATTATCTCCTCTTTATATTTGCCACAGTTTAAAATCCTGTCAAACATGTTGTGATTTTGCCAGTTTTTAAACTTCCATGAGCATATTATGTGTGTGCAGCATCTGATTCAATGATGTTTGCCACAATATCTATGCTGGCAAAGAACACAATTTTTAAGAAAGGTGGTGTAAAAATAAATCCTCTTGTTTAAAAAGATGATGTGAATGAATGCCAGGAAATAAATGATAGAGATTAGAATTATTCTAAAAGGAGAAAGAGGCAGCTACCTTTGAGACGAATGCAGTTGCGCGAAGTATGTAGAGGTTGACTCCAACTCATTTTCTACTCCTAACAGATATTGCAGCACTTAAGGATGCTGACACAGTCTCAGTCAGCATGAAATTTGCCAGTGGTGCTATAGTCACGCTTGATGTCAGCCAGCATTGTACACGCAGCATTGACCAGAGGTTGGAAGTAAGTCATTACCTTATTGACAGCGAATATTTGTTACACTTAAACCTTTGATAATTCTTTTAGTCTCTCACTGTTTGTCCTCTTTACCCTTTTTATTTATTTAACTTTTTTTTTTGCTTCCATGTGCCTCCACATTACTCAGCCTGAAAATACTGTTTCTATATTTGGTGCAGTTTTCACAATGCTGGATTTTGTTTGTGAAGGAGCATCTTAGCAGTCAATTCTGTGCTCATCCTATACTGTTTCTCACAAAGACAATTCCAGTGGGGTGGGGGCTGCTTACTGGGTAATCATCAAGAGTAGAAACAGTTGCAAATTATTTCCCTGCTAAACTTGGCAGTTTAGGAAGGCTGGTGCACTTATTATTTTTACTGCTGCATATTACATACAAAATCTAATTTCAAGGTTATCATATTAGAAATGCTATTTACCCTTCACTGTGTGTGTGTGTGTGTGTGTGTGTGTGTGTGTGTGTGCTATCTGCATTTGGGGCTGGGACTGGTGGTAATGTTCTCACCTTGAGAAGTGGTATGAAACATGTTTAAATGGCATGAATTTGTTTTTGAATCTTTTAAGGTTCATGGATCAGAAGGAACACTAAGGATGGACAATCAGAGTGCCCTTGGAATAACTGAACAAGGCACACCAAGACCTGTATGCTCCCAATTGCATTATGACCGATACAAAGATGCTTATAGAGATCTGATGAAACACTTCCTCAAAACTCTGAAAGGTTAGCATGTTGTAGATCTATATTTTCATTTTGGATTGTAAAAGTAATTTATTCATGAATAAGTGTTTTTTTTCTGAAGAAGGGTCCCGACCCAAAACGTCAGCTTTCCTGCTCCTCTGATGCTGCCTGGCCTGCTGTGTTCCTCCAGCTCCACACTGTGTTATCTTATTCATGAATAGATTAGTTCATCAGTAATCCAGAAACCAAGGATGGTTTTTTTTAGAAGATTCAAGGTCCTTACTAGAACTGGTGCTCACCAGATTGTCTGTCATCTACTGAATTAAGTCTCCCCTTGGTTTCAATGTGTAACATTCTGATCACTAGCCAGAAGATTTGTAGGTTCCAGCCCCACTGCAACATTTGTGCTCATAATTTAACTGGGTACCTCATGGCCTGCTGCATTTTGGAGATGCTGTCTTTTGTGTGAAATTCAATCATTTAAGTCAAGGTTAAAGTGAATATAAAAATTCCATGATGTATTTTTGTGAAAGAATTTTCCCATTAACAGTTGTTGGTCAGTTGTTTTGTTGTTGGGTAAATCTTACTGTGAGCCATTGGCTGTGCATTTGAAAAGAGCAACGTTATGAAGAGTTAAATGAAGCTGGAAGATTTGCCTAACTTATGCCAGGGAATGAACCTCCACAATGAAAAAACAGTTGGAAACTAAAGATACCTAGACTGTGAAAGAAAAATAATGGAAGCAAATTTTTGGAAACTAGAGTCATTTTGGACTGGTTCTGGGAGAATTGAATATCTTGATGGACAGTGTAAACAATATCTGCAAAATGTGTTTTTGGTTGTGCTAAGCAAAAAAGGCAATGTTCTGTTTTGTGATTAAGTATAATTTGCCCACAAAATAGTGTTTAGTTCATCTCACTTTTTTTATTCCTTTGTTATAGTAAGAGTCTTAAAATGTCAAATTGTGTCACGGCATTTTTTTTTAGATATTAACTGGAATATTGAATTTATTTCTAAATGTTATCAGTCACAAGGAGATTGTAACACTACTTAAACACCCTGGATTTCTGACACCATAATTTCCCAATTTTTCCCTGTCTTTCCTTTAAATTTGAAAATTCTGGAATCTGCATTTTTTCCCCACCTTGTCCAAGTTCTAGCAGTGGAAAATGATAGACTGACTGCAGGGAGAACATCACAACTGAGTCTTACCCTCACCATGTCTGTAAGCTTATTTCTGGAGTAGATCACTCCAAGTTGATCCAAAATCTTATAATTGGCTTTATATATATATATAAAAATAATATACCCCCTATATCTTTGGGAAAGTCTATTCTTAGCTGAGTTCGAATCATATCCCAGCAAAAGTATTCTTTGGAGGAAACGGAAGAGAAAAAGAAAGGCTTGAATTTTACAAAAAAGCATGTTTCACAACTTCAGGACATCCCAAAGTACTCCACAGATCATGAAGCAGTTTTAAAATGTAGTCACTGTTTAATTGGAAATGTAGCAGCCAGTTTGTGTGTAGCTGTCTTATATTAACACCAGTGAGATAATGATCGGATCGTTTGATTTAGTGATATTGGTTGAGTATATAAAAAGGCTAGAATTCTGAGGAGAATTCCCCTGCCCATCCTTGAAATAGTGCCACAGGACTTTTTATGCTTACTTGAGGAGGCAGGTGCAGCCTTGGTTTCACATCTCGCCCTACAATTTGCCAATGTGAGACTCCCTCGGCGTCAGCTTAAATTTTTGTGTTCCCAGTCGCTGGAGTGCTATTTGTACCCACAGTGTTCTAACTAAGAACATCAATAAGTGAGCCACAGCTGATAGACGAAGAATGAGTTGTGTACAGGAGTGCCATCTTACAGTTCCCCAACCCCAAGGAGTCCCTTCCTTCAGGAGAAGGAGAGAGAAGAAGCGGGGAGGAGCAATACAGATGGTGGTGGGCACTGGACTAGAGCTCTGGGTTTGACAATTGTTTTGCTTACTTTAGAAACAACTTTGTTTTGATTGTTTGATCTCCTCCCTCAGGGAAGGAAGAGCCATTTATCACAAAGGAGAACTTCTTGTGGACAATTCAGGTTGCAGCGGCTGCAGAACAGTCTTGGAGGAATGGTTCGGCAGTGGATCTGCGGAATGAAGCCCTTGATGGCACTGTTATTAAAACTGAAGTGCCCTGAAAGAAACAACAAATGCCAAGAGGTTGAAGACCATGTTTACTTACAGTCTGCAGCAGTAACTCATTGGATTTGGGGGCAGGGGGAGCAGTGAAGAAATAAAGTGAACAGAGAGCTGTTTCATAAACTGTTCATTCCTCTTGTGAACCAATACTTCTAAAGGAAATGTTTTATTCTGAGTAGTGGGTTGAACTGATAGCAAGTAGACCAGCCTGATATGAGTGTTAGAGGGGGTTCGGGGATGAGCAGGGAGAGCAGGGACGGGATGTTTGAAGAAATGAGTTAACCCACTGTGCAGGTTTGATCCTGCAATATCCCACTGAAAACGTGTTGCCGTACTAACACTCGGCAGTTGGCTACACCCAAAATTGAATGTTGCACAGGAGAAAGTGGGAGCTCCAACATAAACGTCAGAAGTATCTGTAGGATCAGTAGAAACCTGTTCTATCTCCCTCCCTCCTTTCTAGCCCCCCCAAATCATACTGCATTTGCCCGTTTCATGTGCTTTTCAGCAGCGACTAACAGATGATTATTCTAGCCATTGTCTCCCTATAAGTGTTTTGAACTTGAGAAAAATACAGATGGAATTTGGGCACTTCAGTGTAGGTGAGGCCCTCCCAACAGTACATCAGGGCTGTGTGTGAAGGCTGTCTTTAAAGGCCTAGGTTAAATATCTATTCATTAGTCTATCATGGGATTAATTTAAGAAAAACTACCCATGAATTAGAAGCATATTTCCATATGATTTAATGATTTGATGGCCTTGCGGTAGCATGAGTACTTACCGATATGATTCGGTCTTTGCACGAAATTTTACTGTACTTCAGATGCAATACTGGCATTTTTACAATCCCTGTAATTTAATTAATTTAACAAAATTTGGCCTAATGGAGGTTGAAAAGGCAATTTATTTAGAAATATAAGTGCTTTTATATTTGTAATTATTGGACAGTTTAGGATTGCTTCTAAACATGAATACAATTGCTGGACTCCTACCAATGACACAGCTAGAGTTGGGGGCTAGGGTTTGGACACTTAAAAAGAAAGTAACTCTTTTTTTAAGCAAATGACTTAGAAATGAATGGTAATTTTTATTTAAAACTGTGAACTTTTTAATAGATATAGAGAATTTTCTTCTTTTTGTCTAAAATGCATTGTGTGAATACAGCAGGTCTTAAGTTCACCCGTAATGTTGCATCACCATTTACATTAACGTTAACAGTTCACTGGGTGGTGGAAGGGCGAGGAGAGGCTCCTTCTGTTATCAGCCAGGTTCAGGGCAACAACAAACCAGCTTTCGTTGTCTAAGACAGAAATCCTGGGCCCGTGCCCATATTTAAGCCAGAGTGGTCAGAAACACTGGAATCAAAATCAGCAGAAAAAGGCTGTCTGCCTCAACAAAACACAGTGCATTTTCAGAATTACATTGGCGTTTCCACTGTGTTGCAACTCAAGAATATTCTTGGATCAATAGATTCCAGAAAGCCTTTTATGTGACTTCTTTTCAAGGTGAAGTCTGGAGTTGATGTTGGGAGAGTGTTTTTTGCAAAGATGTGGAAGAATAGCTTGATTACGTAACAACAGTAAAAGCTATTGCCTAATGCAGTTAGATATCGAACTTTGATATAAGTATGCGCTTTTCAGTTAGGTCACTGGGGGATTTCATTATTACACTTCTCACTGGATGTTAATTACTGCCTGTTCTAATTGTCCTTGAACTAGACTAGGGTATTTTCAGAGGGAAAATAAGATTCGGCCATATTTCAGTGGGCCTGGAGTCATATGTAGGCTGGACCAAGTAAGGATGTCAGATTTACTTGAAGGTGATTACTGAATAACACAGGTTTTTACAACAATCACTGACAATTTCATGGTTACCACTGCTGAGACCAGCTTTATATTCCAGATTTTATTAATTAAATTTAAATTCCACAGCTGCCATGATGGGATTTGAACCTGTGTCCCCAGAGCATTAGCTTGGATCTCTGACTGAAGTTCAACATGTAGCTGATAATTTAGACCAGGATTGTTGCCCTGATTTCCATATTCTTTCTCAACAGCGTTACTGCAGAGATAGGAGGTTGGCAGTCTGATATTTCATTCAGAAACCAGTGTACGCAGTTCCCTTGTGAGAAAGCACTGACACTGAATATGGTGAAAGAGAAGGGAATCAGGATTAGTTGCTATCAAGAAAAACAAAAGAACTGTGGATGCTGGCCTGTTGGCATTTGTGAAGAGAAAGCATAATTAATGTTTTGGGTCAATTGACCCTTCTGAACTGCTATCTAACTTGGATCTGAAGATAATGAGAAGATTAACTTAATTCCAAGCTCTGAAATGCCCAGTGCAGACTGTGCAATCGCCGCTGGGCAACTTGGCTCTATTTCCTCGTGGGAGACTACACTGATCATTCCAAGTATTTAAGAATGAATACAATTTGCAACACATAGTGCAGACCAAAACTATAATTCCCATAAATAATTAAAACCTTTTTAATTGTAATAAACTTCATGTCTGCAGGTCTAATGTCCTAAATTTGCCTTTTTATGGTGGTCTTGGTGACAAGTTAATAAACCCTCTCATTAGAGATTTCATAATTGGAGTTGTGTAGATTTTGTGAGACGTGACTAAACCCTCTGCTCCTCTAAGGATCATACCAGGCAACCTGAGATGCCGCCTTTGAATATTTGTACCGACGACTTGAGTGAGCTTGGAATCAGAATAGCATAGACCAGAAGGATGCCATTTGGCTCACGGAGTCCATGGATTTTTGGAAGAAGAACCCAGCTTGCCCCACTCCCTGGCTCTTTCTCTGTATTACTGCATTTTTTTTCTTTTCCTTTTAAGTATTTACTCAGTTTTTTTCAAAATTTACTTTTGAATCTGTTCCCACTGTCCAGTTCAGCATTGCATTCCAAATTCTAAGCCACTCATGAAAAATCATTTTTTTTTCAGCCTGTGTTGCTTTTATAAGGATATCACCTCTGTCCTCTGGTCATCAGTATTTCAACCTTTAAAATAATTTATCTTTATTTACTTGATTTAAATGATTTTAAACATCTCTATTAAATCTCCTCCAGACCTTTTAAATTTTCAAACCCAGTCTGGTTGATGTGATCTCAACTAGTTCGAACTCCATTCTTAATTCATCTTTATTCTCTGATTTTTAGCTTTCGTGATGTGTTTTGTATTTTTTCATAATGTTTTGTCAAAAGAAAATAATTTTGAGCTCCTTTCGTTTATCCATTTCTAAACCTGTGTACTTTTTAAAAGAAGAAATATTACTTTATAATTAGGATGCAGATATTTTCACTAGGCCCATAGATACATAATTGACAGCAACAGAGTGAGTTGAAGAATGCAAGTAACAGTTCCTGATGATTTGAAGATCTCCAGCCACTTCCCAGCCCATTCCTACTCATCCTTAAGCTCTGATTATTCTGGTGGAGTTATCCACAGCAGGTACTGGCTGCTCTGGAAACTTCCTCAAATGGCTAGCCTTTTAGTGTGAACCTCGATCGTGATGTAATCTAACTCTGCGCCACATTTTTATGCTCAATACCCTGTTGTTAGCAGAGATCAGTAGATAGCAACCAAGACAAGTGATTGAGATTTATTTTGCTTCTCATTTAAAGCTTTCTTCAGCTGAGAGTTTAAATCCAGTTATATAGCAACTCAACTGCTTTATTTGCTTTGAATTTGGAACCTTTCTGCTAATAAACAGCATTCTGTATAATGTAATGTCCTTATTCAGCTATTGTGGAAGAGTAAAGAACAGTACAGAGCTTACATACAGTGATGTTTACGATGGTGCTATGTCTATGTAGGACCTCAGTCTTACATCTGCTTCCCTTTATTTTGAGGCGATGCCCTCTAGTCCTAGTGTCACCTGCTAGCCATGATCTTATTAAAGGGCCGGGCTGGCTCAAGGGGCCAGATCGCCTACTCCTGCTCCTAGTTCTTATGTTCTTACATCTTGTGGCTGTAGGGGAAATGGAACTTAAGATACTATTGAGTTAGTAGCCTAGGATGTCTTAGTGTGAAGCTATGATGTGTATTCTTAAGATATCAAAGCTATTGCTTGATAGAAATGCCAACTTATTATAATGCTTGTAATTCTCAGATGAACAAATGAATATGAATTTATAATTTCAAAGTTACATTTATGTGACTGAACATGTCATTTGTGGCCCACAATTATTGGTTTATTTTAGATTCTGACATCATTTGGCTAGTGAATTATTTTAATCATGGGAAGACAGTATGACCACTCACAGGTTAGTCAACTTGGTTGCCAAACAAAGGAATAAATTTCTCTTCCAGATATTGATAACTGTGTACAGTATGGAACAAGTTGGCGAGCAAGTTAACATTGCTAGGAAAAAGTTGTCAGTGCACCTTGATAATATTTGTAACCATGCATTTAATAATATACTCTGCCTCCTGTTGCTGTGGCCTCTGCCACCTACTCTGTGTTCTAGGGATGTTACTGAAACTGAGATTGAGAATTTTTTGACATGATTTGAGGAGCAAGGTTCAGACCCTGACAAGTTAAATGATTAATTGCCATGTAGAATGTTCAGCTGGTCTAAATTTAGTCATGTTTCTTAAGACTGGCAAGGCTAATGCAACAGTGGCTGCTTGCTTTTCTTTCTTGCCCCTTTTCTCCCTCCTCCAGATCACCAGAAGTCATCTGGAAATTTGCACATGTGAACCTGGAGATCACAGACTAAAAGGTTATTTATGCAGGAATGGGCATTTAGATCAGAATTTGAGCTTGTCTGATCTTGTGTGTGCATAGTTGTCAGATCTGCCTCTCAAGTGGAAACTTTTCTTTTTTATTTGCTAGATTCTACTGCCACCTAGCTTGAAGTTACCAAAAGCAATTCCAGCAGTCTCACTGTCACAACTTAGTACACAGGCCAAGGGTACAACATTGAACTTTCTTCATCTCTGTAGCCTATTGTTGTGCTGCATTTACCATTAACGTGTAGGTGCTAATTTGTGTTAACTTTTCTTGATGACTGCAGTGGAAAAAAATGAATCTGAGATATCAGTACTGGAGAAGGAGACAGTTTTTCGACCGTTGGCATCCAGTATCAGCATCAAGTATTCACAAAGTCCTGAGTAGATTGTACATCAACTAATTTCCAGCAGACGAACACTATTCTGCTTCTCATCCACCCCACACCCACCAAAAACAGCAATCAGCACCACAAATGCTCCTTTTTAAAGGAGTCTGCAATGAAACTGAAAGATCCTTAAACTAACAGTCCCATTTCCACAAACTCAGTAGAATCTTACACAACTAAGGTGAATATGTAGCAAGTTTTATTTGAAACCATTTGTTGCAGTGTCCACTGGTAGCTGAAACATTTCATTTTAGGGCCCTTGAAGTTTATGGAGGATGAAAACTTAACTCACAAATGGACTGGATCTGACCATGTTTCCCTGTGATGTAAAAGGAACGTTTTTGTCTTTCCAAGGTTTTCTTGTTACAGCTGAAGAGGATTTTGTTTTGGCACTCAAGCTGATTAGCACCCTACTGATTGGTCGTCTTCCACTGAGCCACCTAAGTATTTATTAAAGGAATGATTGCTTTTCATTCCTTCCACATAAGTTATAGATTTGTACAACAATTCTCTGAAAATGAGCATTGATGGGATGTGTCTGTATTACCAATAGGTTTCCTAATCAAGTGATGTGAGGATGGTAATGGTGCTTTTGAAAACAGCAGTGATATTTTGTGTAAAGTTATCAAAGTGCTTTGAAATCAGGCTCAAATTCCAGTTTATGCTGTATTAGCTTATTTCAAATGCCAGAGAATCAGTGGGCTAAAGAAGGAAACTTCAATTGCAGACTTTACTGTTTGTTGCTATCTAGTAGTTTGGGTACTTTGTGGCATAAGTAGTACTGTCACTGGACTAGTAATTCAGAGGTTCACAAGTTCCTAACTCATGGTAGCTGGTGAAATTTTTATTTAAGTCTGTTATTATTGAAAAGTGTTCAGGTGCAGATTTCAGGAGAGGGTAAGATCTGGCCTGGTTATAATGAGTTAAATAACTTGCTGACGTACATTTTTTAAACAATCTGTTAAGGAATTACCTCTTCAGCAAGTACTGATGGTGAACTTATTTGTGGATCTCTACTGAGAAAGCAAGAGAGGAAAAGCAGGAAAAAGAATCAAGTTTATCGTAATTGCTATTTGAATATACTGTGCCACAATGTTGTAATGTTAAAAAAAGGGACCAGCTATGTTCTACATCTGGTATATATTACAATTTTATCCTGATCAATTGGTGCTATTTCACTACTGTAAAAATGAGTGTCATTACTGTAGCTGTAAAAAAGTTTCAAAGATGTCATTTTTAAAACAGAATATGTTTGGAAAAGTAGTGTTTAAGTTAATTTACAATGTTACCTGTTCAAACGTAACATTTACGTATTTTGGAGATTTTCTTGTTTCATTTCTACTTTTCACTGATTTTTAACAGCATTTGCTATATATAAGTCACCATAAGGCAGCAGTCTCCTTAGATGAAGATGACCGATACTGAGTTTAACCTGAGGGTCATCACGCCTCAAGTGAGTTTGAGAATGCAGGGCCTTCATGGTGACCTTTAGCTATTATGGGAATTGAACTCTCATTGTTGGCATCAGTCTGCATTACGAAATCAACTCCCCCCAGTATATTTAAAAAATAATCTATAAACATTATTATTTTCCAATAGTCTTCATTTTATTCAGATTAGCCATAATCTATTTGTTTATTAGCTTTAATTTTCACGCAAGTAGACTTATAAATAAAATAATTTAGGGTGAAGGCATCTGAATGTAATTTCACACTTCTTATCCATTCAGTCAGGACTGGATTTGAATCTAAGAACCTTCATTTACTAACTACTGAAGATTTTATCTGAAAGATTTAATTAGTTTCAACTTGCACATCAAATGGGCACAAAATGAGCCCATAGCAGAAATACTAAATTTTGTCCTAATTGTCCTCTAGGAACTCCACAAAATGGTCAGTGCTAGTGGTACAATCCGATGTGGAGCTAACATTTTTGAAGACTGAGGTTACACATTTGAAGCTGAATTGTGGCTGTTTATTTTGCTTTTAGGCTTGCTAAATCTGATGTAGGACTATATGAAGAAGGTGGAGTACCTTAAATTTAAAATGTTGCATTAGCTAGTACAATATCCCTCACTTTATCATCAAAATCATACAAATTTATGGCATAGAAAGAGGTTATTTGCTCCATTGCTTCTGTTTTGGCCAACTAGCAGTCAATCAGACTAAGCAACTTTCTGGCTCTTGTTATGTAACCTTGTAGGTTGCACACTTAAGGTGCATATTCAAATACATTTTGACAATATACAGGAAAAGGACCTTGTATTAGTGGGGAAGTCATCAAGTTTCATTTAAATAGCTTCTTTCTTATACTCAGGACATCTAAAATGTTTGCACTAATTAAGCACTTTCAAAGTGTTTCACTGTTGTAAAACATAATGCGATGTGCACATTCCAAAATCCCACAAACAGGGATGTGATAATGACCTAATAATCTGTCTTTTAATGATGGTGGTTAAAGCT